TGAAAATAAATGTACAGGCTTACAAAAGAAACCAAACCAACTATATTGAAATAAAATTATTAAAATATAGTAAAACTGAATTTATGATACAGTAACAATGTGATTCTTTACCACTGCATTAAATCACAAGATCTAGCATTGAGTCTAGTACTGCTGTAATGCTGAATGAGGAATGTTAGTGACATTTTAAGGCTCATGCAATAACTGTAATGTGATTTCTATTGGAGACAAAGTCACAGGTACTGTTAACTACCTTGGTTTGTTCCCCACATTCAAAATGGAAGGAATGTTTCAGTTAAAGATTGTTAGTCAGCTTTCTGTTACTGTGAGAAATAGCCAAGATGATCAAATTAAGAAGAGAAAAAGTACAGGACACACATGTGTAAATACCAAATAGTTTCTCTAGTGTGAGAAACTGAAAGTGTAAATAAGGACTAAAAGGTATAATAGATAATGTGAAATAGGAAGAAAAGGGGCAAAGGGGAAGGGGAAGCGGGAGGGGTAGGGGAAAGGAAAGAAGGGAATGGAATTAATATGAGAAAATGAAAAAATGGAAACAAAGTCTTTGTAAATAGGGAGAGATGGAGGGGTTGAAGGGAGGGCAGGGGAAGGGGGAAAAAATAAGAACCAAGAGAGTATGTAAAGGTGCAAATTTCCAATGACAAATGTCATTATATTGTGTACTTAAAATGTACCAATAAAAGGATATACAAAAAAAATTTTAAAAAAAAGAAGAGAAAAGGTTTATCTTGGCTCACAGTTTTGGAGTTTTCAATTCATGCTCTATTGGTGATTTTGCTGACATTCCTTTACTCCCCAATTCATGATCTATTGCTTTTGGGCTGTGGCAAGGTAGCACCACGTAGGACAGCATGAAGCAGAGTGAAACTTCTCACCTTGTGGACAGGGAAGCAAAAAAGAGGAGGAAGGGGCTAGGGTCCCATCGTCCCCTTTAAGGGAAGCCTTGAAGACCTCTCACCAGGCCCCACCTTTAAATGCCTCCAGTGCCTCCCTACAGTGCCACCCAGGGGAGCAAACCTTTTACCACATGAGCCCTTGGGAGTCATTCAAGAGCCAGACAACAGCAGAGGTGAATGAAATGAAAGGGTTGACCTTTTCCTCCAGCCCAGTTCAAAGACTCCCTGAGTTCCGTCTATAAGACTATCATTTCTGGGCTCTCTCCCTCTCCCTCCCCCCATAGCTAGTCTTCTGATTCTCCCGATTTCTCTGGAGCCTGACACAGACCCTGGAACACAGTTGGAGCCCAGTTGATGGCTTTTGGGGTGAAAAGAGACCTTTAAGCATAATCTTGCCCCAGCCGGGGGTCAGCCACCCGAGACTGATGATCAGATGCTTCCTGAAGGTCACACAGGCGCCGGAGAGCTTCCCAGCAGCTGCACAGAGCTGGGCCTGCCCTGCACAGGAGGAAGCTGAGCTCCAGGCTGCTCGGCTCAGAAGGGACCCGAGACATCGTGAGTGACAGGCCTCCTCTGCAGCCTGTGGAGGGTGCTCCCTGATTACAAAGCCCTATGGGCTGCCAGCAACACGCTCTTTCTCTCTGTGGCCCCAAATGGGCATGCTATGCTCCCCCAGCCCTGGTCTTGTTTAGCTGAAACTGTCCTGCTTGACAAATAGGCCATTTGCTTCCTGCACCGGGGCTGGAGTGGCTGGCTGCCTGGAAAGGGCTATAATTAGTGGAGAGGAGGAGTTGGGATTGCATGCTGGCATTGACAGATACTTTTATACTCAGATGGATAAACTGATGTCATTAGAGATGTAAATATCATTTGGAAATTTCAAAGTTCCTGGGAAGGTTCATGCCAGCCTCTCCCCATTCCCAGTGCCCCTCGGAACACTTGGACAGGGAGCCCGGATGGGTCTGGGTTGTTTAGGGAGCCACACAAGCTTGGCCTGGCCTATCAGAAATGGGGCCTATGAGCACTCGGCGCATGGTGGCAGGGGAGTCGAGAGGCCCGTGTTTGCATTGGCCATGTGCTTTTCCCATGGCTTTTGTGGTCTGGAAATGTCACAAAGCCAACCAGCAAGGAAGTGGCAGTGCTTTCTAATAGGGGAATGAGATCAGACCCAGGGAAGTTTTGTTTTCTACCAGCAAAGCTTTTCTGGAGTGATGCTGGGGCTCTGGGGAGCCTGTAAAAATAGGAGCCACTGACTGCCTTTCTTCAGGAGGCTGAGGCCGGCCCTGCCCCAGAATTGGGGTCAATGACAGTTCTGGGATTTGGGGTACAGTTTCCAAAGCTGAGCACCTGAACACAGATGCACAGGCTGAGGCAGCAAGGAGGAACGGGGACAGGCTGGGGATGGGGGAGACGGCAGGGTCACCGTGCTCATCCTGCTGGAGAAGAGGAGCCTTCTGTACAACAAGAAACAGAACTCGAGAGTGTAGGGAATCAACGTGGAACATATTAGGATGGCATAGTCATGTGAGTTCAGTGAGAGTGAGGATTATACTTTTCATTACAGTAGAAGATAAAATCTTGCTGCCGCCCTCAAGAACACAGGGTCCTTGAATATTTGCTTTGTTCCATGCCGGGGCCCTGAATACTTCACTGTGCCTTGCGGTTCTTATTGAATCCTGATCCTCAGCTCCTGCGTGCAGAGGCTCCTGGGTCTTCGTCTCATTCAGGTCAGGGTGTAGTGAGGGATCCTCCCAGGGGGAGTCATGCAGAAGGTGGGAATTGGCTTGGTGTTATTCTCACAGGGCCCACAGGCTGAGGTTGGCGCTGAACAGTTATTTTACCATGTTTGGGGTTTGGGAGTGTGACTGACCTGAGAGCTTCTGGCTAATCTTTCTCAGTGGTAGATTCTAGATTCCATTTCTGTGTCACCGTTTGCCTGTGGAGTGTGCCTGGGTGATTTTGCTGGTATCCCTTCACTCCTAAATTTCCTGATGTGACCATGTTGTTAATAGGTGGCTGGAGGCCACTTCGTCCTGACATGTGTGTGTTAGAGACATTCCTTCCGCACTGAGGAAGTGGGTCCTGGTGCAGCTAGGGGAATTATCTCTTCAAACCAGGGCTCTTAGCCTTGGAATACAGGAGGGTGCTGGGCTCAGGAGAGCCGGTCCTGGTCATCCGCTGCCAAGGCTGCTTCTGTGTTGTAAGCTCTGTTTGTGTGACCTCTGGGATCCCCGTCACTTGTCAAAGCTGAGGAGGAAGCAGCCACTTCCCTTTACTCAGGATGGCCTTGGCACCCTGTAGAAGGCCAAGAGGATATCCTGGAAGGCATGATGAAGAAGGAGCCCGTTGTGGCCACTTGAAGCCTGGGGTAGATGTACGTAAGTGAAAGGTGGCCTCTCCACGTTCCGGATGGTGACTGGACGGCCATGCGCCAGGTGGATCCTGCTGCTACCCCCTTGACTGTATTTTTCTCCACTTCCTCTTGGGCCTGAGCTGACAGCACACAGCTTCCATTTGCTCTCCGAGATCTCTTGGACTCAGTGGGGAAGACCCAGTGACTTTGCCCAGCCTTCTGGAATGAGTGGCCCAGAAGGATGGTCAGGATCTTTGGACAGGCAGGAGGCTGGTAAATAGCGACTGACTCAGGATCAGGAGGTGGGGGTGAGGGGTCTGTGGGAAAGTCTGGCTCACGTTTGTTCATGCACATCGATTATAAACATCTGTTGTACTTCCCCAGTGTGGGTACTGTCAGTGGGCTGCAGATGCCCAAAACAATCCCAAAAAAATCCCTCCTGGCAAGGGGATTATGTTCCGGCAGAGAAGACAAACAATTAAAAAAGTAAAAGAAATGATGTAGTATGTTAAATGTTGGTGAATACAAAGGAGGAAAATAAAACAGGAAAAAGCTGTGAAGAATTTTATGGGGAGGGACTCTCCACTTTTAAATAAGGTAGCTCCCAGAAGGCTTCACTGAGCAGGTGACAATTGAACAAAGAAGGAAGCAGGGAGTGAGTTATGTATCAGGAGGATTTCCTTTCAAGTGGTGCAAAAAGCCTGTGCAAAGGCCCTGGGGTGAATGCATTGGGTATGTTTGACAGCAGTGAGGAGCCTGGGTTTTTCTGATGGAAAGTTAGTGTGTACAGTGTTTCCACTGTCAGAAATGTTGATAATGAGGAATTTTAATGAAAATCCTCTCAAAATTCCCCACTCCAACTTTTGACTTTCCTTATGGTCATCCTGAAAGTAAATTCCATATTTATGTTATTGTATGAAAAGTCTGCTCCCCTGAGCAGTCCCAAAATGTCCCTTGGGTCCCCTGTCTGTCTAATAGACATCTTGGTGGCTCTGTGCTCTCAGGTTTAGAGTGTCCACCTTTGTTATTTTGGCTACAGCCTTGCAAAGAGCCTTGGGTGAGCAGGGCCACAGTGAATGTGTTATACCTATTTTTCAGATGGGAACACAGACACAGTGGTCGATGTCTGGGATTAGTAAGTGGCAGAACTGGACTTGAACTCATGTTCTCTGACCCCACCAGTGCCCCCACTGCAGCTCTCCTCTAAGGTAGCATCTCCATGCATGGTCCCTATTAGTCTCTGACGGCTGCCATCCAAGTGCCACAGACTGAGTGGCTTACACCCTAGACTCCAATGAGCTCACAGTTTTGGGTATTGGAAGCCCAAGAGTCAGGTGTGACCGGGTTGGTTTCTTCCTGGGCCTCTCTCGGGCTGGTAGATGGCCCTCTTTTCCTGGTCTTCATGTGGTCTTTCTCTGTGTCCTAATCTCTTCTTCTTAAAAGGACATTGGTCCTCTCGGATCAGGGCCACCCTGGTGACTTCATTTTAACTTAATTACCACTTTAAAGGCCCTATCTCCAAATATAGTCACGTCCTGAGGAACTGGGGTCTAGGATTTCAGCAGAGGGCTTTTTTGGGGAACAGTTCAGCCCATATCAGGGTCCCTCATGTGTGGTCCCTCTGCGGGACCCCCCCAATGCCAGGGTCACAGCCCTAGGCAGGCTCTTTGTTGGAAGCTCAGAGGCCACCTGGAGCCCTCCTGCTTCCTCACTGCCACCTCCTGCTGCAGCTGATCGGGGCCCTGGTGCTGTCCGTGGGGATCTATGCGGAGGTGGAGCGTCAGAAGTACAAAACCCTGGAAAGTGCCTTCCTGGCCCCGGCCATCATCCTCATCCTCCTGGGGGTCGTCATGTTCATCGTCTCCTTCATTGGTGTGCTGGCCTCCCTCCGGGACAACCTGTGCCTTCTTCAAGCAGTGAGTTGGCGCCCCCAACCCTCATCCCGGTGGTGGTGGTGGTGGTATGACCATGGGGGGCTCCTTGGGTCTCCACAAAAGTCCAGGACCCTGGCCCTGGGCCCCTGGGCAACTCAGTTTCTTTAGCTCCTCAGAGGGTTTCTGAGGTCTGCCCATGGACCGGGGCTCAGGAGGGACCCAGGCCACCCCACACCTGCATATAGAAGCAGACTTGAGTACTGTTGCTGCTTATGGAACTCTGTGTCCCTCCGGAGCCTCAGTTGCAATGGGAGAAGCCAAACTTGAATGAGAGCAAGCACAGATGGACAAAAGGAGGTGTGGTGAGTCATCAGCTCACCCGACAGCCTGGATAGTCACCTCCCAGGGAGACTGTTCCCATCTAGTGTCATCCTCAGGCCTCCTGTGTGGTGGGCACCAGCAGCCTCAGGCTGGCAGAGTTCTGATAGCTTCTGATCCCAGAGAATCCTTCCTGGTTACTCTGGCCAGAGTCTCAGGATCCTGGTGGGCCCAGCTGGGGTCATGTACCCATCCTGAGGTCACAGCTATTGTCAACCCTTCCTGCATCCCCAAACTGTGGTGAGGGTTGGCTCCCGAAAGCTGGGGTACCAGGGAGGCAGATCCATACACTCCACACTCACATGTGTGTCTCATCATCTTCCCGCCTACGGGAACCCTTGTGATCCCATAGAAACAGGATCTTGGTGTTGCCTGAGGCCGGAAGTTGCTGGAGTCTGTTGGGATCATGCCTGATTTCTAATAAAAGGATGGGGTGTGTATCTTCTAAACTTCAAGCACCTCTCTTCCCCACTTTTGAGAAGTAGTTGGTGGGGGCTAGAAGCAATGCCCCAGCCTTCCCTGTAAGCCAGGTCTGTCCTCTGGGGCTGGCTATACTGGGGTGAGGCGGAGCTCTTCCCTTGGGTGAATGGGATGGGGAAGCTTGTCCACCAAGACCCCATTAAGGACCCCTGGGACAAACATTGGTAATGATCATCCGCCTGGGGCAGCTTGGGTGCAGCTGTCCACATCCTATCCTCCCACATAGGTTGGGAGGACAGAAGGCCCAGGAGCTGAGAGCTGCTTACTGTGCTTGATCTCAGAGCAGATGACATTTCCTTTTGCCCTGTCTCCATCCTCTGCGCCCCCCCCCCACCTCAGGTGAATCTCTGAATTTTGCTTTCCAGTTTATGTACATCCTTGGGATCTGCCTCATAATGGAGCTCATTGGTGGTGTGGTGGCCTTGATCTTCCGGAACCAGGTGGGCCTGAGGGTTCATTTATGGATGCTGTGCATACTGAGTGCCTGCTATGTGGGCCCTGGGCTGCAAAGTGGGGTGCTACAGTGAGCAGGGTGGACAAGTCCCAGAGAGTTTTCTCTGTGCTGCAGGAGGCAGTGGGCCTGGCCAAGATGGCAGGATTTGGTGTATGTTTTGGAGGCAGCACTGATGTGGCTCAAGAGTGAAGGAAGGAGACAGGTTTCCAGGGCAGCGTCTGGGCATCCCACTCCCAGCAGGGTTTGCAGAGTTAGGGGCTCACGGAGCTGGAAAGGTATTCATGGCTCCTGGCCTTCAAATCTTCATCCCAGTCTACACATGTGCCCTTCATACTAGCTATGTGACCTTGGGCATCACGTGACCTCTTGGATCCTTAGGGGGTCACGATTCTTAGCGCACAGAGTTTGCGGTGAGGATTGGAAGAAAGAAGGAGTATGAAGAACCCGACCTGTTTTAGGCACAGCTCCTCTTGTCCAAGACCCCGCAGGAAGTGAGTGGTGGGTAGGGCTCACTTCTAACCCAGAGCTCTATCTTTTCTCCCTGAGCCTCCTTCCTTTGTCCTCGTCCTGCTTTGGCATTGTGGTCAGGGCTCGAGGTGCAGGGCACATTTGTAGAAGCCCAGGTCTCTCTGTCCACTTCCTGCCTGCACCCCAGCCTGTAACACAGCTTGGCTCCTGGCGTTCCAGTTGCTGTTGGAAGGGTGGATTAGAGCTCCAGCTGAAGCATCATTCTCACCAGAAATTGAACCCAAGCCAGCAGACACTGTCCCAAAGCCAGAGCCTCAACCAGTGCAGTGTCTGACCCCTGCCACACTCTTCCTGGGTGTGGCTTGTGTCCCAGCCCTGTGGGAAAGGGACCATGTCTGCTCTGCCCAGGCCTCCTATAGTGGAACCTAACTCCAGGCAAGTCGACACCCCTGGAATCCAAGGGTGATCCCCAGAATAGAGGAAGGGCAGTTTTCATCATACCTGTAGAGTCATCAAGACTCAGAGAGGTTAAGGAGCCCTTCCAAGAGCACACAGCAAGGCGGAGACAGCTCAGAGCTGCTTTCCAATCCCGTCTCACTCTCTGCTCCTCTCTTTTCCTCTTTTCTACTTTGCTGGTCCTCTGCTCTGAGTCAGTAGATCCAGGATACTAGCTCATTTCCCAGCAGCTTGAGGGGAGGGAGATGTTTGTTCATTTGCACTTAAGGATGCTATTCTGTGCAGCGCTTAGGGCTCCTGGCCAGCCTGTGCCTTCCAGGGTTGGGGGTAGTGCTTTCCTGGCAGGAGCCCAGGGAGAGTTTGTGATTAGCAGCTTTCACAGCCTTAGTAAACAGCCTGCTCCTGATTGAGCAACAGGCCTAGTCCCAGCATGCTTTTGCCAAGGCTGTTGGATTTGCCGTTTTCCAGGCTCCATAGGTCAATGAGGGCCAAGACATGAAGGTCTTTCAAGTGAGGGAGTGGGCTGAGGCCTTGGAAGTCCCCTGGGCCTTTCAGTCCTTGTAGTTCAGGGAGCCGTGGGCCTGTGGTCAGGGGTGAGTTTCCATTTGTCTCCACACTCTGCAGGTGCCATGGCCTGTGAAGTGTGTCCCTCTCCCTTGGGTGGGGTGACCTTTGTGGCAGTCTTGGTGGGCAGCTGTGAGAGGGCTCTCAGCTCTGTGGAGTGGGCCATGGTGTTTGTTGAAAAGAACAAATGCAAACTCAGTTTCTCTTCCTGCATGCTGACGGCCCAGGTCACTTCTGTGGTCCCCGGATGTGGGACTTTTCTCATGTGCCGAGCTAGCCCTCAGTCCTACAGCAGATGCCAGCAAAGTGTCCTTTTAGTCAGCTCAGTGCTGATGCTGTCCACCTGGAGATGGCGTTGGGTCCATGGGCTGGGTGCTCAGACCCTAAGACTGTCCCCTTTGGTGCCACTTCCAAGCCCCAGGTGGCTTTACCTGTGCTTCTGACCACTAGGCTATAAATGGGGACTCCTATAACCCTCTTCTGGCGTTCAGTTAATTAGCTCATGCAGGCCTAAGAACTCGGGGAAGCACTGAGTCCTGTTTATTATGAAGGATTTTTATTACCCTTTTACTATCAGTTTATTAGAAAGGATATTTCAAAGGACACAGAAAGGCGAGGCTTGGGAGGAGGAGTGCAGAGCCTTTGCGTGTTGAGCTATCAGGAAGCTCCCCGAACCCTGTCCTTTGGGGTTTCTGCCCACTTCATTGCACAGGACAACCATGAATGGGCTGGGTGGGGATACCCAGCAAGGCCTTTCTGTTCAGGTTCTTCACTATTCTTCCCTCATGGGTGCTGGGCAGCATCTGTGCAGTGAGGAAGGTCTGTGAACAATTGTCACACAAGGGTACGTCAGAGCGTGTCTTTATGGTGACGATGAAGGCTGGAGTCTCTATGACCCACCTCTGAAAAACCTGGTGGCCTTTGATGTTTGCTTACTGTTGGCTTCGGTTAGCCATGCCCATGTGACACCAAGGCCCTGCTGGCACGTGATGAGAGGCCCTTTCTAGTCCTCGCTGGGGCTGCCCCTGCTGCCGTGACCTGGTATAGAGCTGGGCATGGGGACACTGGTGTCCCTGGCCTCTGAGAGCTGCAGTGGAAACCTCTTTCATGCCTGCTCCTGCAGGCCATGTCCTCTGACTGGCTTTGGAGTCCCTCAGAACACTACTGGAGCTGCCGACATTAGCAAGCACTTTACAGTTAACAAACTGCAACCTGTCCCCTTATGAGACTTCCTTGCCACCCTTCCGAGTGGCCACAGCCCAGGAAGCCCTTGGTGACCTGCCTGTCCTCCTGTGCTCACATGCACACACGTGCACACGCACACACCCACACACGCATATGCACAGAAGCACAGAAGCAGACACACTTGCAAAAGCCAGCATGACCCAAAGATCTCTCTCCCGTGGGAGCTGGGGCAGCGGCTGTCCGTGGGCCCAGGGCCTTCTGCTCTTCAGGCCCATTTCCCTCCCTTTCCTTTGCTTGACTCTCACCAAGGCCTGGCACAGAGTCTGCACCCTCAAATATGCTCATATGCTCATAGCCTCCCCCTGCCCTTTCTGCCTCCCTGGGCCAGGCCTTCCGCCCTCATTCCACTCTGTCACTAGCTCTGAGGGTGTCCATAGGGCACAGTGACCCAATGGGAGGCCGGGAGTGGGACAGACTTGGCACAGAGGGCCAGAGTGGGCCACGGCTATGGCTGCAGTGCCCTCAATGTGGAGGAAAGCAGCCCAACAAGGCGTGGCTCAAGGTGTGACTCTGAGACTGGTGCCACCCCAGTGCCCAGCAGCTGTGAGCTGTGAGCTCATTCCCTGGCCCACCTTGGGTGGCAGACTGACCCCACACACCTCCCGTGCCCCAGCCAGCTGGCCTGTCCCTTCTCCACCCAGAGGAGCAGGCATGGAAGGCCAGAGAGGCTCCCTGTCCTGGGCCTGAGGCCTGGCAGGTCCTTGCTGTGCCCAGGCCATGTGGCTGCAGGGAGCTGGTCCATCCAGTATACAGGTCAGGCTGATGAGGGCTGTGGCCCATGAGTTTTGAGCCTCTTGCAGAGCCCGGTGCCCTCTTTCCTTCTGGGCTCCTTGTCACCTTGGCTCTGAGCAGTGTGGTCTCGGGGAGGAGGTGGCCCTGGCCTTTGTTCCTCTCTTCCGGTACTGGAGATGGTTTGGAGAGATGACCTCAAATCTGAACCATGAGGTCTTCACTTGGTACCCTAAAAGGTGTCAGGCTGGGAGTTTGGCACCCTGGTCTCAGCAGCTCTCTGCTAGTGGCCACTGGGTGATCTTGGGCAAGTGACATCACTCTCCGGGCTGCAGGATGTCTGTGAAGGTGGCCCCACCACCCTCACCCAGAGGCTGGCTATATTGCAGGAGGTCTTCGGATGAGAGTTGGGGACTCAGTTTCCCCTTGGAATCCCCATTTCCCACTCAGGACATGGTGGGGCTGAGGCGGTACCCTGAGGTGTCTGTCTTCTGGAAAACTAGTGGAAAGTTTATAATACCAGGACCTACTGTGTTCCTGGCATCCTGCTTAACACTTCCGTAGCTTTAGTACAGTTTAATCACAGCATCCCTGTGAGGCAGAGGTGGTTGCCTCCCAATTTTGCAGGTGAGAAAGGAAGGCTTGGAAGTTAACAGATGTGACTGCAGGGACCATATCTTTGACAGGGAGGCTGGACAGCCCCTCTCAGCTTCGTCTTTGGCCCTCAGATCTGGATCATGTCTTACAGAGAGGCATAGGGGCTTGGCTCACAGTGGGAAACTGAGGCCCAGAGAGGGGAAATGAACTGTGAGGGGGCCTGGAACCTGGCCCCTAATGTCTCTGTGTATCTCAGGATGCCACCCCCAGGAATTGTCTGGCTCCTCTTTGGCAATAGAGCCAAGAATGCTCCTTTGTCCCTGTCTCTGCTGATGTTCTGCCTCAGTGCTCTGAAAGCTCTGATTGTTGCAGCCTGCATGGAGCTGGGCAGCCCACACTCCGCCCCCACCCTTGCTTGATGTGGGCCCCTTTGTGCCCCGGATCTCGGCACAACAGCTGGGCTGTTGATCCAGAAAGCCCAGCGTGACTGGGAGAGGGCAATGTGCCAGCACTCTTCTCTGTGGGGCCTGTCCCTGCCCAGGCTGGGAGGGGACTGCTAGGTCTGTGGGCCCCAGCACCACAGTGATGGAGAGAGAGGCCCATGGAAGTCAGAAAACTCGAATTCCAGCCCCAACCAGGCCCAAACCAGCCTGCTCTGTGACCCCCCTCACGGGTCCCCTTCCCATGGGGCCTCAGTCTCCTCTTCTGTAAAGCTTGAGGCTGGATGGTGGAAGTGTGGAGAGGGGCTGTAGAGGTGATGTAGTAGAGGCCCTCAGGCATCTGGGGGCGGGGAGGGCATGTGGTAGGGAGTTATGGAATCTGGTGGGAAATGGAGGGGACCCTCCTTGCTGGTGCCACAGATGCTGCCGGGAATCAAATGGTGCCCTCACCAAGCCTGACTTCCAAAACTTCTAGGGTCAGTCTCTGCGCATGGTTCTTTTCCTTTGTGATGTCTCCTTCTCTATAATAGACCATTGACTTTCTGAATAACAACATTCGAAGAGGAATTGAGAACTACTATGACGACCTAGACTTCAAAAACATCATGGACTTTGTTCAGAAGCAGGTGAGCCCCCAGGGCTTTGTCCCCATCTGGGACCTTGTTCAGCAGTCAGTGCCAGCCCCTGTCCTTGGTGCTTTTCGGCATCCCTCTCCTTTAGTGCCGAGGCTCCAGTCCCTGCCCGTGGCATTGCTGTGAGGATGACCTTGACTTCTTGCAGAAGTGCTTAGAAGAAGCTGGATGTGGGGGTGCACGCCTATGACCCCAGCACTCTGCAAGGGTGAGGCAGGAGGAGAGAAAGTTCAAGCCTAGCCTGGGCAACTTGGTGACTTAGTAAGACCCTGGCTCAAAAAAATTGAAAAGGGTTTGGGATGTAGGTCTTTGTGCAGACCCTGGGCTCAATGCCCAGTACTGGAGAGAGGAAAAGAAAAAAGAAAAAGGAAGAAAGAGCTTAGAATAGGCCAGGCTCTCGGTGATAAGGCCCTGGTAAGCGTAGCCGCAGGGTCATCCTTATGCTCCTGGATGGGGACAGCCACTGGCACACTCTGCCAGGCATTTCCTCCTGGGACATGACCTTGGGAGCTCAGCTGCTCTGGTCACTGCACCAGCCCTTGGTTCAAACCAGCCTCTCACCACGCCCAGCGCCCTGGCTCCAAGCCCTCTGTAGTCAGAACAGGTGCAGCCTCCTCCGGGAGGCCTTTTCTGCCAGTGCTGTGCTGCCAGCTCGGGTGGGGACAGCCAAGTCACATGTACTCACACTCGGGTAGGGCGAGATGTTTCTATTGGAAGCAGCCTTCAGCTGGGTGGGGACTTCATGCCTCTGGGTGGGGTGGGAGTGACTAACGCCCACCAGGCACCTGCTTGGTGCTGCCCTGGCAGAGTGCTTTACGCACAGCCCCTTTGGTGGTCACACACTAGGATCTAAGGCCCCGAGAGGCTGATGAGCTTGCTTGCAGCCGCACCTGGGATGGTAGTGTGAGGATTTGAATGGAGGCTTTGTCTGGTTGCAAAGCAAATGCCCTTTGAACTCTACCTTAGACAGGCACTTCCAAACCTTGAAATCTGGTGGTCTAAAGGACACTGGGGACTCAGGAGAGTCTCTGGCTTGTGCTGCTTCCAGGACCTCCTAGCACAGCACTCCTTGCATGGCCTCGCACTGCTCCCAGCATACAATCCCAGCTTTGCACCATCTTCTCTGCCTCACCCTGCCTCTCTCGCTCACTCTGTTCCAGACCCATTGGCCTTTGTACCTGCCACTGAAACAGGCTCATTTCTGTGCGGGGCCTTTGCATGTGTTGACTGCCTTTTTTTTTCTTCATGGTTCAGATAAAATGACCTTTCCTCAGAGGGGCCTTTCCCGACACCCAACCTAAAGTCACCCCATCCTGCTCCTTACCCGTTTGTCCCCATGTCTGGGGACCATGGCTCTCATTCCTGCCCTGTGTAGCACTCACTCTGACTCCCTCCCCTGGTTTTGCTTGACCTGTCTGTCCAGAGTCCAGACTATGCCCAGCACATGCCAGTGCCTCCAGAGAGCTGCTGGCTGCTGCCCTTGGGAGTGGGTGCTGGTGCAGGGTGTAGTGGCCGGACAGCGAAATTCAGGGAAGAGGCTGAGGCTGCTGCCTGTGCTCTGAGGACAGCAGAGAAGGGACTGCCTCAGGACCATGGTCTCGGGGACCATAAAGGCCTTCTTCTCTACCCTGACACCAGGGACATGAAGATGAAGAAGGGGTAGTTCAATGTTCAAGGAGGGATTTTCCTTCCGGCGTCCAGTCACCACCCTGATATCTACCCCAAGGCAGCCCTTGGCTTACCTGTCTTGACAGGATGGTGCTACTTCCTGGATGGCCATGCCACTCCTGGGTAGTTCTGACCTCACAGCATACAGCCTTGTCATGTACCTGCTGTCATTCTCCCACCAGGGTGACCCATGTAACAAACTGCACCGGCTCCTGGGGCCCCTTCCAGGCCTCTGACCGGAAACTCCTCTTTTCTGTTTGCCGTCTTTCTCAGTTCAAGTGCTGTGGCGGAGAAGACTACCAAGACTGGAGCAAAAACCAGTACCATGACTGCAGTGCCCCCGGGCCGCTGGCCTGTGGGGTGCCCTACACCTGCTGCCTCAGGAACAAGGTAGTGCTCTCTGACCCTGCGGGGTGGGTGGGGACACAAGGCCACCCTGCTGATCAGGTGCTGCTGAGGCTAGGGACCTGGGTGGTGAGGGTCAGGGACAGGCAGGCAGGAGGTAGCAGCCAGAGCTGAGGCTTCCTGAGCCTTGGGGGCTCTTTTGAGGAGGGCCCAAGGGGGTGGTGTGGAGGTCTTGTCTTTATGAGTGGGGCCAGTCAGCATCGATCGAGCTCCTGCGGGTCTGCTCCAGGCTTTTTGGTTTTAGTAACTAACTCAGACCCTACAGTGACATGGGAGGTAGCTGCTATTAATTCACCCACTTTACAGATTAGGAGATCGTGGAAATGTTAGGTGTCTCGCCTGAGGGTGGCAGGGCAGGGATGAAGCGCAGGTGGCTGTTGCAGCCCTGTGCTCCGCAGGAGAGGCAGGGAGCAGCAACCTCCAGGCCCGGAGCTCAGTGGGGTCCACTGCTCTGCAGTATTGCCTCAGGCAGAGCGGGGCCTGCACTTTAGGTGTCTCCTGTGACCCCCCCAGCAACACAGCACCCAGGAGGAGTCTGTGATGGAAATGTCAGCCTCTGCCTCCCACCAGCTTGGCTCTTGCTGTCGCCTGCTTAGTCACTTGGGCTGCTGCTGTCTTGTGCAGTCACTACTCCGTCAATCCTTGTGTATAACTCACAACCAGAAACTGCCTGGTTACTGGACTGGAATGAAGCAGAAAGCCATGCAGTTACTCACTCCCCAGCAGTCATGGAAAGTTTCTGTGCTGACATCTCTGCCACTTGGTGCCCACTGCCTGAGTCTGTAAACCCAGCAGCTGCAGTGGGGCCTCGCCCAGGAGGTGGGCGCAGTGCCAAGTGCACTCGCCCTAAAAAGGCTGGGCTGGAGCGAACTTGTCTGGAAGCTTGAGCTGCCATTTTAGGGTAGGTCTCTGGGCCAGAGTGCTGTGCAGGAGCTCGGGGTTTCAGGGGGCTGCAGCAGTTGTCCTGAACTTCCTCGCTCAGGGGAACAGCACTGAGTGTCAGGCTGAGATATGGAAGCCCAACTTGTAGTCATTCATTCATTCCTTAGATACTGGTGGAGGATCTATTATGTGCCAGGCACATTTCCAGGTTGCGGGGTACAGCAGGCACACAAAGTCTCTGCCCACATGGAAATGATATTATGGTGGGGAAAACTGGCAAAGAAGGAAAAGAGGGTACATAAGAAGTGGATAAATGCTAAGGAGAGAAAGCAGAGGCACAGAGCATTGCTATTTTCCATAGGAGGGTTCCGAAGGCAGTGAGGGAGGGAACCACTCAGGTGTCTGGGGCCAGGGTATTCCGGCAGAGAGAATGGCAAGTGCAAAGGACCTGGGGTGAGAATTGCCCTGGCCTGGTTGAGAAACAGCACAGCATCCAGTGTGGCTGAAGCAGACTGAACTTGAGGAGGTCCATGGGCATCAGGGGGAGGTGTAGAGGGAGGTCATGGGTGTCCTGCAGGCCGTGGGTGAGACTCTTGTGTTCCCTTGAATGGCAGGGGGTGCTGACTCTGAGATGCTGGCTAGTGAGCAGAAGGGTTATTGGGCGGGCAGAGCTGGAAGCCAGGCAGCAGGGGGAAACGTTGAGCAACCAACAGTGCAGCTTCCACGAAGTTGGCTGGGGCCTCAGCTGAAGCGATGAGGTGATCCCTCCGCACTGTCCTGTACTGGGGTGAAGGAGCTGTGCCTTCGTGGTCCTGCATCCAGGGCTGCCTGGTGAAGCTGCTCTTACCATGTCTCTGTTCGGTGTCATTTACTTCTGTGTTATGTTCATGTCTCTTCTTCCAGACTGGGAGTTTCCCGAGGGCAGGGAATTTGTTCTTCTGTATTCCAAGTCCCTAGAAGTGTGGCTACCACACCATAGTTCAATGCACGGATGAATGAATGGAGGATGTGGAAGCCCTGTGCCCATCATTCCCTCCCGCACCTGCTCCCAGACCTGACCCTGTCCAGAGGGCCATGTTTATGGCCTGGAAGGGTCACAAACACCGATGGACCTGGTGCCCCCTGGACACTGGGTGTCGCTGAGTCTGAGGGCACCTGTGGGGAGGTCTTGGAGGAGGAACCATTTAGAGTGACCTGGATGGCATCTGAGGCCCAACTCCTCCTTGCCTTCCCAAGGACTGAGGTCATGAACAGTGTCACCCCAGCCAGTGCCTTTCCTTGCGCCTGGCCCTGAGAAAGTATGCTGCATGCACATCTCACTTGGTATCCCAAACAGCCCATGAGGTGGGTTCACTGACTGTCCCGGGACTCTAAGGAAGAGTCTGTTCACTCAGTCCCTCCACAGCTGCTTATCAGGGGTCCCTGTGTGTTGCTGCCTTGGTGGCTGACTGAGGTTAGTGCAGGGATCTTGAGTGGCAGAGCTGGACCTGGATGCAGGAGGTGTGATGCCAGAGGCCACAGTGGCCTCTCAGCTGTTGCTATCCTGTGCCATGAGAGATGCCTGTGGCCCCCAAGCCCCACAGAGCATTCACTTAGATGGGGAGGGACACGCTGGCAGGGTCATGGGTTGGACCCAGGGATGTACCTCTTTCACCTTATGGAGAGGGGTGGAGACCACCTGGGGATGGGCGGTGACACAGAGTGGCCCTGCCGGCCTGTGCCGCGGGGCCTGCCTGGGAAGGCATTTGACGGGGTTTGGGTCTGGGCCCCCAGCTTTCCCTGGTCCTAAATTAAACGGCAGCTGGGGGTCCTGGAAAGCAGTTCCCTTCCCAGGAAGGAACTTCCCACCTCTAGTGAGGCCAGTGTCTCAGGGGACAGGGAAGTGTGGCCAGCTCTGCCCTCAGCTGGCGGGGCTCTTGTCCCAGGTGTTCCTTCGTAAGATGCAATATTGTAGGAAGTGTGACCATGGGAGCAAAACAGTGGCTTGCGACTGGACCCCACTGGGGACCCAGGGCAGCTTGCTTTTCTCTGGGTTTCTGGGCTGCTGCTGGAGGAGGGGAAGCGAAGACACACGGTGTATTAGCTGTTATGTTTCTATTTCAGACAGATGTCATCAACACCATGTGTGGCTACAAAACTATCGACAAGGAGGTAATGCCTTTGAAATCCTCTCCCCCCAGAAACATTGGTGTTCCTGTCCCAACCCCCTGGAAGGGGCACGGGGGGCTTTTGAGGTGACTGCCCTGGGGGCAGGACTGCTGGCACAGGAGGGCTTGGGGAGCTTGGAGAGGCCACCTGCCATGCCCTGCTGAGTGCCTCCTCCGGGCTTGTCCATGTGAAGCCACTGTGGCCCCTGCCAGCATGCTGTGTGCCCGGCCTGACTCAGCCCCAGGTGGCCTCTGGTGACCTTGGGGTCACCACTTGGCAGACAGCTCACCTGCTTCCCTCCACCTGGGACCCAGGAGTTCCTGGGGAATGGCAGGCTCTCTGTGCAGCCAGCCTGGCTTAGGGGAGAAGCTGGGCCATGCTGGGAAAGGAGTAAAAATGAAGGTGGCCTGAGAGGCCTCAGCACTGGCTTACAAAGTGGGGTCCCTCCACCAGCCTTATAGCACCCACAGGAACACATTAGAAGTGCACACTAGCACACATTCAATTCGAGATCTGCGACCAGCAGTGTGCTCAGCCCTCCAGAGCTGATGGCTGGCTTGTATAACAGCGCTTATTTATTATTCCCAAATGAAACCTATAGACACTGTACTATAATCTGCCTACATATCCAGTTTCTAAAGGGTTAGCATCATGATCTAACCATGACAATGGAGAAATAAAATAATGCAATGTGCAGCTCCACGACAGATTTTATTTTATATTTATTTATTTATTTATTTATTTATTTTGGTACCGGGGATCGAACTCAGGTCCTTGCGCTTGTGCAGCAGGAGGCGAAACTACTGAGCTAAATCCCTGGCCCCTCCATGACAGATTTTAACACATAAGAGCTCAGGCTATTGTTAGATGCGGCAGAAGACAGTGAAACAGTTTGCGCAGAGCGGGAGATCCCCGAGACTGACACCACTGAGGCCCCGGATACAGGGGGGCTGTCTTGGTGACTATCTATCACAGGGATCCTTTTTGTCATTGACATGGTCTTTTTTTTTTCCCATTTAGTTTATTGGTACATTTTAGGTATACAACACAGTTCCATTCATCATTGGGATCTTGCACCTGTATCTTGGTTCTTATTTTGTCCCCATTCCCCTGCCCTCCCTTCACCCCTTCCACCCTTCCCTATTTGCAGACTTTGTTTTCATTTTTTTCCTTTTCTCATATTTTTTCCTTTCCCTTCTTTCCTTTCCCCTACCCCTCCCACTTCCCCTATTCCTTTAGACATTTTCTTCTTATTTCACAATATCAATTACACATTTTGATTATTTACACTTTTAGTTTTTCACACCAGAGAAACTATTCGGTATTTACACATGTGTGTCCTACTTAAGAGTATGGCCTCAATGTGCATCCACTTAGCT